GAAAAAAAGCAAAAGAAATAAAGTATCTAATTCTGATCCGCGTTCGGTAACTTAAAATTTAATAAACAGCTAGTGGAAGAAAATGTTTGGGCTTTCAGAAAACCCAAAGAATTCAGAACAGCAGCGTTAGTCATAAACTTATAGCCTATAAAGGAGATGGAAACCGAGGAATTAACGAATTAACGCAAATTTGGGGTTTAAGCTTAGAAATTGGAAAAATTTAACGAATTCGTGAAATTAAAAGCAATAGTGAGGATAATGAAAACTCAGTAATGAAATGGGAGAAGGCTGAAAAGCAAATATAATAGAGATGAGAAATTAAAGATACTGGAAGCCGAGAAATAAAGATTATGAAAAATTCAGTAAGTTCAAAAGAATCTAAAGGACGTGATTAGAGTACAACTGTCAGTGTAAAAAATGCATTAGGATTTATTTGTTTACAAGTCATGATATGTTTTATCAACAGAAGGATGCTAAGTAATTTTATACGAACCTTTTGATCTTTTGCCCAGTTTTATTTGTAAAGTACAGTACATAAAGTTCCATAGTGATCTGTTTATATATTGATTTTAGTGAAATGGATTGATCAATTCTTGATTGGTACATTTTGTTCGACTTTTCATGAAATTAAAAAAGAAAACGTAGTAAGAATTTTTCTATTAAAAAAAGAAAGCTATAAAACGTAATGATTACGAGAATTCTTTCATTTGTAACATATACAAATTTTTTATCTATAGGTTCACTACATTCACTTAATGGCTTTCCATTTATAAATCTCTAACAAAAAACCAGAATAAATCATTTTTTGCGAATGATAAACGAGTGCGATATTATAGAGAAGGGGTGAAGTATTTGTATTAAAATATTGTCACATATGATGTCAAATTGGACAATGGTGATGTTGTAGCCCAAATGAGTTGATCGTCGAAATGCGCATTTCGGACTATGTCCCAAATGAACATTTCGATAATATCCTAAATGAACACTTTATTATTTAATAATAAATCTTTGCATGTGAAAATATAAAAAAACAAAATTATTTTTAAAAAAATGACTTCATTTACAATCATTGTTATTAGAGAGCTTCAAGATTACAAAAATTATCTGATGTTAATATTTATGATACAAATGTAATGGCAAAATTTTTTTTTTTTTTTACAACCTAAATAAAGCTTTATAATTTGGATATCCGAAGTGATGTTCGTTTGGGACAATGTACAAAATGCGCATTTCGGACATTAATGCATTTGGGTTATAACAACATCGCAGCAAAGTTTATTAGAATTTTTTCGAACACATTTTTTTATATATCAATGCGTGAATAACAGAAATCTAATTCCTGATGAATATTTGATTTTATTTGCCAAATGCGGAATTCAATAATTGAAACATGCTGTAACACGAAATCTGTTTTAAAAAAAAATTTTTTTAATTAAAATATGAACCTAAATAAAGTTTATTTTTGTATCTGAATTAAAATAAAATTCCAGTGTTTTCGAATTGAAAAGCAAGTAATCAAAGATGATTTATTTTCATAGCATAAAAAGATAACGTGATGTTCATATATTTTGCCAGACACATGATTGAAAATCTACCCCGCAACATTATAAAACCCACTCGAAAATGCTACTTAGCGTTCAATTGTAATATAATGCATAATAGTTCTACATAATTTAGATATGGTCTTAATCATAAAGGAAATCTCGGCATAACTGAATTATTTTTACCTTGGATTTTATCCAAGAGACGGAATTTCTAAATAAAGAAATGATCATAATTACATCATAACATCGGATTAATCACGAGCAAATTTGTTTGACCTTTTTTTTACAACCTTTGCAAAATGGTTAAATTTGAAGCCCAAACCAACAATTAAACATCATTGGCTCAATGGTAATATTTTAGCAAAGAAATATATAGGATAACAAGTAATTCCCTTTGTACAATATTAAAAAGCTTAAAGAAACAAATTCTGTTATCGATCTTCGAAGGTTACACAACACATATCTCCGAAAAATTTGCATCAAAAATATTACCATTCAACTCGTCATCTTACAATTATGATTTTGGTATTTCTTTTCAAATGTTAACATATAGGAACATATGAAAAGAAAGGGTAACAAATCTTCTGTACGAATAAACAAATGCTTACAGATCTACATATTGAAATGAGAAACATCGTGGGCGAAGGCTCATATGAATGAAATAAAGTTTGCATACAAATGATAATAAACCTATGACATGGGGAGACATTTCATTTGAGAACCAATCTTCAACCTGCTGCGTAATAAGAGGAATGACGTCTACAACAAGATAATAAGCTTAGTTCAGCCGAAAATGGAATGGTTGGACATCCAATTAAATACTATCGAAAAAATAAATGCCACGAATTAACTGTAATTGACGATCTATTGCAGAAAAAAATCATGTGTAAAACGATTAAAATTTTTTTATTAAAGAACATTATTTCTAAAAATAAATCACTGTCATGGTTTAAACCTATTAATTCTGGAAGAAATGTCAAATTGATGGATAGATTAGAAATATATATGATAATTTTTTTTTTGCTTGTGATTAATTTTAATGCCACCATACAATTTCGTATATTTCGTATTCCTATATAAAGCGACCCTCTTGAATTTTTTTATTTTCTCAAATTTTTTTTGAAAAATGAATTCAAATCCTGCTACGATTATTACTGAACCTGCGAAAAATTTAAATGATACCATGATTGCCGTTGAGTGGCATGGTAATACTGACATACGCATCAATACAAAACGTAAAAGACCTGTCCTTATTGTAAGTAGAATATAAATAAATCCTTTGGGACGATCGAAAATTGCCCGAGATTGACCGATTCTTTAATCATTTATTAGCAACCAACCGATGCCATTGTTCGTATAACTGGAACTACTATATGTGGATCCGATTTACATTTGTATAAAAATGAAATCTCTGGGATGGAGAAAGCAGATGTCGTGGGTCATGAAGGAATGGGCGTCGTTGTTGAAGTATATAATGACACTTTATTTCTTGTATATAATCTTTACAAATAATATAAAAAAAGAGAAATACTTTTTGACACATTTAATTGATGATTAGGTTGGTGAAAAGGTCGCAAATATTAAACCAAATAACCGCGTTGTCATTTCCGCAATAATTGCGTGTGGACATTGTGAATATTGTCAAAAGAAAATGTTTAGCTCTTGCGACGTCACCAATCCAAGTAAAGAAATTGAAGAATTATACGGTAATATCAAAGTCTTTCTCTTTCCAGTTTTGTCAAAGAACTAATGAATTTTAATGGATTTCAGGTCATCGTACCTCTGGAACGTTCGGATATACCCATTTGGCTGGCGGATATGATGGTAACGAAATTTTTATAATCGTTCGAGTCTTTTTAATTTGTAATATGATCATCATGACGCTTTGTTGCATTGTTACAGGAATACAAGCTGAATACGTTCGGGTTCCTTATGCTGATATAAATCTTCTTCAAGTTTCGGAAGAAGATTATCATGCTTTAGGGGTAAAACAAATAAAATAATAAATATACATTATTATTATACATAAAATTAAATTAAAAAAAAATGTTTATTTGGTATTTTTAGGAGAAATTGATCTTATTATCGGATGTTGCTTGTACTGGTTGGCATGCTAACGAGTTAAGCGAAGTGTCTAAAGGTATTGAAAAATAAAAAAAGAGAACGATATGATTTTACTCAGCGTCTCTTTTTATATCAATTATTTAATCTTGTAAAACTTTCTTTCTCCATCTAGGTGATATTGTTGGAATTTGGGGTAAGGAAAAAGCAATATACTAGTTTATAAAAAATATTTTGCTTGCTAATCAATCTTCATTTGTAAAATAGGATGCGGACCAGTTGGTTTAAGCGCAATCTCATGGGCGAAATATCGTGGCGCGTTGCGTATAATCGGTATCTTGACATGAATTATTAAATTTCCTTACTCGAAAGAGATTTTTTATTTATGTATTCTTATGTTATTTCGTTTCTTATAGCGATCGACTGTATTCCGAAACGTTTAGCAAAGGCTCACGACATTGGAGCCGAAACAATTAATTTCAAAGAGCATAAAGATATAGTAGATAAAATGAAGGTATTTGTTCCCGGTGGACTGGACGTTGCAATCGAGTGTGCAGGATTTCGTTGTACAAAAACTTTTAGACAACAGGTGGAAAATACACTCCTTGAGACTGATAGTATTGACACGTTAGATGAAGCAATTCGTTGTGTTAAAAAGGTAAGCTTGAGTGGTTACTTTTTTAACGAAAAGGTCAATAATTGCTAACGTTCTCTGTATTGTTACAGGTGGAAGAATTTCTATCATTGGATTATTTGTTGGGATGGCCAACAATTTTCCGATTGGTGCAGTTATGGTAAGAAAGATTCTTTAATGAATTTCGGCAATTAATTTCTAAATGATAATGATGTTTCTTTGTAATTTATGTTTAGGAAAAATCACTCACTTTGCGAGGAGGTCCAGCGCCAATGCAAAAATATTGGGTTCAACTTTTAGCAATCATGAAATCCAATAAAGTGGACATGAATTTATTTACTCATCACGGGAAATTGGAAGATGCCGGGAAATTTTATAAAATCTTTGATAAGAAAGAAGATGGGATAATTAAAGTTTTCTTGTGTGTTGGCGATCAGTGTGAAAGCCATCCGGAAAAGTATTGATAATTTTTTTTTTTGTGATTCTTGAAGTATTTATATGATTTATTGTTAGCTTGCATTCTTAGGGAATTTTATTAATTCGACGTCTGTTTACGTTTATATATTAAGTTTTCTAATGTTAGTACGAAACTTAAACAAAGTAATTGTTGTATTAAGAAACATTTAGTTTTTGAACAATGATTGCATATAAATTATTATGAAATTTTTGAATTGAAGCTAAGAACCCATCTTAATAATCTAAATCATTCATTTTCAGATTATTTTTTCTTTTTTATTTCACATGCTGATATTTTATATATGAAGAAATTTCGTTCCTTGTAATTGGACTAATCAATTTCTTCATGGGACATGATGTATAAGACTATATGGGATCTTTGCAACCAAAAGTGGAAACTGCCGGAAAAAAATCAATTTTATTTTATATGCCAAATATGATTTTCAGGTTGAGATATGTTCACATTTTTGTATTTCCCGACAGTTTTCCTTTTTATTGAAGGTTCCCATTTATACATTACACAATCTTTTATTCTGTGGATTCTGCGGTTTATGCGATTTGTACAAGTATAATGCTGCTATAACAAATTCGGGACATTTTATTGTAGTATTTTTATAGATGATTTTATATATATCATCAATTACACCGTTTGAACTTTTTATTGTTAGCATCTTTAGCATCTTAATATTTCACGGAACGACAACTTTTATTAGTTTCTTATCATAAATTTCTTTAAATAATTAAATAATAGAATATTCAGTCTTTACGAAAAGAATTTCTAAACGTAATTAGAAATTGAGGCAACGATTCCGTCAATTTAAATAAGTTATTTCATCACAATGCACGTTTGCTTTTTTGTGACAATTCGTGAAAAAATAGTATATTACAAAAACGGTTATCGATGTTTCCTCAAATGTGTAATTTACATTTTTATAATTTTATCCATAAAAAAGTTAAATAAATGATTATGAGTTAATTGTACCTAGGGATGGTAAGACAAAATAAGAGTTGGATCGACCCGGCAAGAGTACGTTGGGAAATCATTTGTTAAGAATCTCAGAAGATAAAACTTTCTTCTTTGAGGTCTCCGAAAATAAATTTGTAAGCTTTTAATATGTCGATATTAACTTAATATATTAAACGTAGTATAACTTAATTAATCCAACATCCTAATATGTTAGGAATCGTGCACTAACCAATCTAGTTACGCGGTTTACAAAATTGGTAACAAAGAATATAACATCATCGACACACCTGGGGTTTTTGATACCGACAGGCCTAATGAAGAAATCATGACAGAAATCGCGCGCACCGTACAAAAATGTGCTCATGGGATCAAGGCCATATTATTTGTTCTTGATTTGTAGGAGTTATTAAAAATCAAATTATGTTAAATCTGGAATTAACTGTACTGTTCTGTTTACAGAAGCTAAAAGGTTAACGGATGAGCAAATAAACGTGTGATTAATGGTATAATTACGTTTTTCGGAGAAAAGGCCTTTCTATACATGATTACTGTCTTCTCGTTTTGTGACAAGAAAGAAACAACAAACACTAAAAATTTTGAAATGTCTTGGAATGATAAGGTTCGCATGCTCGTCAATCGTATGGGTAATCGGTGGGCCATTTCTCCGAATTCAGACATCTTTCCCCCTGGTCAACAAATACATAAAGAATGTTTAAAAAATTTAGAAAATATTATTTATAACCTAAATGGAATATATACAAATGAATTGCTCGAAGAGACACAAAAGAAGCAAGAAGAACTTGCGCGGATTGCAAGGGAAAAACAAGAAAAGAGGCAGAGAGAATATGATGAGATTAAAAGAAAAGAAGGTAAAGCAATAGCAGAAGCAGAATACTCAAAAAAGAAGGCAGAAGATGATGAAATTGCACGTATTGAAAATGAAAAACAGCTTAAAATACTTGAGAATAAATTGTCAGAACTTCAAAAAAAACTTGATGATACAAGTTCAAGTAGTGGAGGTTGTTTCTGGCTTGAAACTAGAGTTAAGCTTGAAACAGGAAGAATCATTCGAATGTCAGAACTTCAAGTAGGAGATCGAGTGTTGTCAAACATCAGAAATGGTATTGAAGAGTTTTCAGATGTTTACCTTATCGCTCACATTGGTAAACTCGATTATGAAGAAAAATTTACCAAGATAAGCTTCACCAAACCAAACGGCTATAAAGGATTATTCTAAATTAATTTTAAGTCTGAATAAATAAACGCTCTAAAATAACTGTTAATTATTCACTTTTAGATCAATCACGGCTCACAACCACTCATTATGTCTTCATTGAAAATTTATCCATCATGTTTGCCAAAGATTTACATCCATGAAAAACCAAGATTTAGTATCTGATGGTAATAATAAACTTGTTCCGGTCATTGTGGATGATATAACGAATAAGAGTTAGATCAAGACATGATTTTCACGATTTTCAAACTCATTATTTTCAATTCTAGGAATGGCACGATGAATATATTAGTTTTTACACTAGGGCAGGCTCAGTTATCGCCGAAGGCGTATTAAGTTCTTGTTACGACGATTGCCCTCCTTCTCAGTCGCTCATGGACCTTGTTTTTTTACCAGTACGCTGGTGGACCCTTTTCAAACCAAGCACGCATCGCGAAAGCCGCCTTCATCCCTATGTTCAGTTCTTGGAAACGGCATATTTTTCTTTTATCAATTTATTTGTGCAATAATTTTTATATAATTATCGTTTTTTTTTCTCATTAAAATATTTGTTATTAAGGCCGTTCTCGAGCGCCTCAATTGATAGATTGATAAGCAATTTGATTGGCCGAAAAAATTCATTGAGCTACCATTTTGATGAAAAAACCAATGAGCTGTAAACCTCATTTTTTCTTCAATGATAGAAGCCCTGTTCAATTCTAATCCATTTTGATCTGATCCGATTGTCAAAAAATCTAATAGCCAATAAAAATCATTTGAAG